AAATGAATTTGAACAATTGTAGTATCAGGCTGCAACATAACAAAATTGAAAAAAGTGAAGAAGGTCTGAATACTCTCCGAATGCACTGTATACATAGGCTGCATTTGCTCAACTTATTCAGACAACTGGACCTAGTATGTTACCTGAACCTAGCTCATGGATGAACTGGAGGAAAAAAAGATTGAAGCTAGAGTAACCTATGGTGCAGCCACTCTATTGTCCCACTACTGGGTCTAGAAGACAGAAAGTAGGTTAGAGTAGCTGGAGCATGGGGTACTCTAACTTCAAACTCTTTTTTTCCTTCACTTTTCATCATCCAACGGACACAAAAGTGGAAGGAGAATCATCTTTTCCCCATCTTCATACTCAGTGGTTCTAATCCTAGTCACGTCACTATAGTTCGTAATGAAACAGCCAATGAAAACCCAGAAACTGTCCCTGCTGTAGCCAGTCAAACTAACTATTAACCAGAAAGTGGAATTGGCCCAATATGTTGTGTCAATTGATGTCAGGCTAATGTTTTGAACAGTTGAGTTTTTGCATTTTTGGGAAATACACCCGCTCTTTAGCCCATTAGTGTAATCTCCTTGCCTAAGATTTTGACAGGTACGTGTTTGTGGTTTCTTTACTGTGCCTGGGATGCAGGAGGTAGAGTAAAGAGGATTTTGCCCAAGTTGCCAGCTGTGAGGTATTATTTTTTTTTTTAGTTGACGCGGTTGTATGCTGAATGTGATGGAGCTAAAGTCTAATACAGAGTTAAGGATTGCTCCATCTTTTCTAATAGTCTAAAAGCTGCTGAAAATATACTTGCTGTAGATGTTTCAAGTATTATGGATGGTTTTGTTGATTGTTTTGTAAATCTCCACGAGTCTATTGATTCAGTGGTTTATAAGCAGAGTGAATGAATGAATGAATAAGTGAACATAGGAAAGAGAATCCCAAATCCATTTAAAAGCTATATATTTTATTAGGCCAACTGAAGGTCACAAAATAGAATGTAAACCTTTCAGTTCTCCTACCTTAGACGAGTAGATAAATAAAGCAATAACAGTGAAAAAGGGAGGAAGTCAGTCATGTGATTTGCTTCAAAATGCCTTAAAATGGCAGTAACTGCAGATACTTAAATTATAACAGTGAAAAAGGGAGGAAGTCAGTCATGTGATTTGCTTCAAAATGCCTTAAAATGGCAGTAACTGCAGATACTTAAATTATAACAGTGAAAAAGGGAGGAAGTCAGTCATGTGATTTGCTTCAAAATGCCTTAAAATGGCAGTAACTGCAGATACTTAAATCTGAC